GTTCCACCGTCCCGAGGCCAGAAACGGTCAGTGGGAAAAGCAGAGCTGCAGTGCGGGCAGCAGAAGCCCAGAGGCAGGCAGAGGAGGCAGGGATGCCCAGCCACACGCAGCAGTGCCGTCCCCTCCCATCCCATCCCACACTCACCCATGCCGTCTCTGCGGGGACCCTGCGGAGCGGGAAGCGGTGGGTTTGGCCAGGCAGCAGGGTGGCCGCTATATAGGGCTCAGCAGGTGAGGTGGGGCTGGCTGATCCAAACTGCAACACTCGCTCTCCAGTTGTCATCAGGGCTGGAAATTTATGGTTTGTTTGCCCTCCATCCGTAAGCGCCTCTGCTCATGCACCAGCTGTTGCGCTTCTGTGATAAGAGGTCCCAAACGAACCTCAGCAAACAGCACCTGATGTTCACACAAAATTCCACCAAAATGACAAATGCTCCTGATAAGGATTTTTCTTGAGTTTGTTATTACTTACGGGATTTGATGTCAAACCCTGTGGGGACATTCAATGACCTGGGCCATGCTGGAGAGCTCTGTTAGACACCCTTTAGGGTCTGCCTACCCTAGCATGGTGCATCACCCGAGAGGGAACCGTGCTCTCTGACACTGCATCCTGGTTCCATGCACACCAGGGCAGCAAAGGGACCTTGTCGCCAGCCCTGACCCCGCCACAGCGATGCAACTGCCTAGCTTGGCACCAGCCCTCCAGCAGTGAACCCATCCCATGGGGCAGCCATGCATGCGGAGGTGCTGCTGCCGCCTCAGTGCCGATGCGGGGCAGGACCCGCAGCCCGCCCAAGAGGTCCAGCGCTGGCACCTCAGGAAGCCGAGGGGTCTGCTGGAGGGTTTAGCTCTGACTTCGCAGCTCTGGGTAAGCTGGGGAGCAGACCTCACCACGGAGCTGGCTGCAGACTCAATTAACAAGGTGGCTGTGGGTTAAGTGGAATAAACACTTAATGGATGTTGAGTGGTCCAGCCTGAAGCCAGCCTTGCGAATGACACAGGAATGGGGGGGAGTGCTAAGGAGGGCAGTGGCATAGCCTGGCGATGCTGGCTTATAGCTCAGTGACACCGATCTACGACTGCAGTGAGGTATTTATTGATGGTTTGATACCAGCAGCTGCTGAGCTGCCGGAGTGTGTCCCTGCGCTGGGCCCGGGATGCTCTGCTGGGGACCCGCACGGGCTCTGCTGCCGTGAGGCTGGTGCTGGCTACTTGGCCCCATGTTGCCTCCATCCTCAGGTCCTTCATCGCCAGGTGGCGTTGCCACCTCTGCTGCCATCCAGGAGACCAGCAGGTGGTGGTGAAGGTCCCAGCACCAGCACACGCTGCCACCGTGCCAGCACCTCGCTGTGCCCTGCCTGGCCCCTGCCCTAGGTTATTCCAACACTAAATGGCTCTCCTTTCAGTACAGCGAGGAGGACATTTTTCACCAGGGGACACACCTTCCCCCGCCCTACACCAGCCTCTTGTAAAGTTACCAGCTCCAAAATTACACATGTATTCACAGAAAAAAGGATTCTTGCCAACTCCACTTTGCAGTAATATTTGTCGTGCTGTTGGACAGCAATGAATGATCCAAGACTGTCCTCAGCAGTTTCCTTCTAATGAAGCACCTTTCTTTTTACAAGGGTTTCCCAAAGTCCCTTGATGGATAACCTGGGGCTGTAGCATTTGTCTTTGATACACTTCTGGCAGCCAAATTTCAAAAAATTGAAAAGGGTCTTCCCAGTCCTTTCAGCCAGCCCCCCCAGGCCATGCAGGAGCAGGGCTGCCTCTGCACACCCACTGGGGCACCAAGCGTCGGCACCAAAGCCGAGGTGCCAAGCCATGGCTGACATCCCAATCTGTCACTGTGTGTGACCCCGGTGAGCACTGGGATGGCCCTGCCTGCTGTTGCCCTTCAGTGCCTCCTGCCACCCTCACTCGATAGCCATAAAAGAGGTTCCTGAAGCAGGGACCCCATCGTGAGCTCTCCTTGCGCTGCTGGCCCTTGGAGGAGCAGCGATGGGGCACAAGCAGCCTTAGAGCAGCGAGCCCAGCCGAGGCATGCAGAGGTGGCAAGTGGAGCTGAATTAGGGAGCGCGGGAGGCGAGGCAGAGGAGGAGACTGAGCCTCCTGTGCAGCCGGGGACAGGCATCTGCCCCCTCACTCCTCCCCTGCCCTCACTCCCCCTCACTGCCAATGGAAGCATCACCTTCCAGAAGACAGAGTGTACTGCAGCCAGACAAAGACCCACCGCTAGTGACACGCAGGAGTACAAGTACAAACTGGCCCAACAGGACTGTCGCAACGTGGGCCCAGCAGAGTCAGCCGGCAGGTGATGGGTGAGGACCTGCTGATGCCTCCCAAGGCACTGTATGAAAAGGGGCATTGAAAGAAGAGGGGAGCAAGGAGGAGACTCTAACCCAGTCCTGAGGGTTTGCCAAAACACCCTGCGGTAGGGCATGAAACAAGTTAAACCTCCCCTGACTGATGTGGCTACAGCTGTAGCCACTGCTTGATGAGCTGGCCACGAATGCATTTAAAATGCTCTCCCAGACAGCACCCAGCCTGGACCCGGCTGCTGGGGCAATGCCCACCCCACATGCAGTGGGGAAGAGCAGGAGGTCAGCAGAGCCTTCCTGAGTCTCTTTCTTCCCACCAAGGCGTACGGGCCAAGGAAGAGATGTGTAGGGGAAGGAATACTGCACAGACACCCCCCCAGCCTGTTTTTGCTCAGAGCTGCCTGGGAAAGGCCCCTAGGAAAGGCTGCTGCCTTCAGTCCTCAGCCTCTACTGATCGCGGGCAAAAAGGCATCGGTATTTGCAGCCCAGCTCTGGGTCTAACTTCTTGGTAGCTCTCTGCAGGGAAGGAGCCCGAGACAGACCTCCGGCCATCGCAGAAGTGTCGTGACATGCTGGGAGCTGGTAACTATTGACAAACCATTGCCCATTACGCTCTTTGATCTCTGGATGATACAGATTTCCCCTGTGCCCTTGGTGTTCACACTCCTTTCCTTCTGTTTGCCTTTCCTCTCTTCTTTAGCTTCTTTATTGCCCTGCAGCAGTTGGTAGATCCCCAGAAAGGTTTAACTTCCCGGCAGATCCAGTATATTGCAGTTGATAAACACCCCACAGCTGGGAGGTTTGGAGTACTGTATTTTTTGTCAGAAAAAAAAAGCTTAGGACCTCTTTGTGTAATCTTGAGCAAAGAGAAGCCACCAGATGGGCACACAATGATTAACTTTGTCCATGCAAACAGGGGAGCTGAGATCCTCACACGGAGGAGGTGTGTATAGGGAGAGACCCAGGTATAAAGGGACAGAGGCCAGCATGGAGTTGAGAGCCGCGGGACTGACTGCTCAGGCTCCCGACGTCCGCTCAGCAGCACCGCGGCGATGGGTGAGTTCTCCTCTTCCTGATGGCTCCTTTTCTGCAGCGCTCGCAGCTCTGGGGGATGCAAGTAAAAAGCCAAGCTAAGTGACAGCAGTGGGGGACCACAGGAGCGGGAGCTGATGAGAGTGTCTAGTGTCCATCCCACTCCTCCCCTTTCCACCCGGCTGTTTCTTTGTAGTTCTCTGCTGCTGCTGCCGCTGGGTTGTTTCCTGCATCCCCGTGAACTGCATGCTCTGCAGCCTGAGCACCAGGTTTTATACACCAAACTCAGCTGCAGTGCTTTGAACTATTTGCTCTGAATGCCCTTAACACAGATTTACTTCTTTCCCATAAAAATATCCTTTTGCATCTAGAACTGTAGAAAAACAAATAAACCACATTTAGGAGAAACATGAGAAAATGTGACTGCAGGTTGCTGTCTGGTGCAGGGAAGGGGCTGACCAGGAGGGTGACAAAGCCATTTCTCACCTTGCTTCAGCCCTGCAGGGCAGAGCCTGCACCGAAGCTGCAGCTCCCACCACCCCGGAAGCCCCCTGCTCCTGCCTGTGCCCCGTGGCTCTGCCTTCCCTGGTCCGAGCTCCCCGGGGGCTGGGGGGCTGCCCAGGGATCCCGTCGGTGATGGGCACTTTCCTCCCCAGGGCTCCAGGCTGGGACACATCGGCTCCATGGGGACCTTGTCCTCCTGCCTGCGGTGATGGCAATGCTTCTCCTGTGCGTGAGCCCAGCACATGCTGCCAGCTTCCAGGGTGGTGAGTACGGGTGCCGGGGGGACAGTCAACGAGCTGCCAGGTTTGGGTGCAGCCACGCTGCCCATTGCTGAACGCGGCCAGGCTCCGAGGTACTGGGTGCAACTGGCCCCACACCAGCAGCCACATAGACAGCAGGTCTCCGCATTCAGACCTAAGCTGCGAAGTCGGGTAATCCTTGCCTCTCATTACCAGCAAAGAGGTGCTCCCAACACGTTCCACTGGTTGCAGAGCACCCAGTGAGATCCAGCATCGGCAGCGTCAGTACAGCTGCCCCAGAGTAACCTGCCAGCACATTCTCCAGTACAGGTCCCTCATGTCTTGCTTGATCTGATGCCGCAGGGCTCCCCGCAGACTGCAGCCACCTGGCCAGCAGCAGCCCCAGCGGGGTGTACGTCATCCAGCCGGCAGGGTCACCCCCACGGGTGGTGTGGTGCGACATGGACACCGAAGGCAAGGGCTGGACTGTTGTCCAGAGAAACACTTACACCACCGAAATCACGTGGAAGGAGTCCTGGACCACCTACAAGTACGGCTTCGGGAACGTGCAGGGCGATCACTGGCTGGGGACTGAGTACCTGCACCTGCTGACGCAGCAGGGCACCTACAAGGTTCGCTTCGTCGTGCAGAATAAAGCCAATGTCACCCATTACGCGGAGTACGACATCTTCAGGGTGGAGAGTGAGGCTAGCGGGTATCAC